TGTCTAGAAGGGCTCTAAGGCAGTTAGAGTAGAATAATAAGGCTATAGTCCTTCATCTGATACCCATGCAGGAACCTCAGGGACTGCCTTAGGTGCTAGAAAAGGATATTGATGGACTCCTAATCTAATTCAGCAGAGTTCTCGAGTTTTATGCTTATGATAATTCGGGGCCTCTGACATATCAGTGTGAAGATTCCAAACTATGCAATGAGCAGATTTGCAAGGGTCATCAGCTATATCACTGCAGCAGAGCTGGACGAGTGAGCATTTAAATGAACTTCAATATCTCTTTTAATCCATCTCCCCTAAACACACATTTTGCAATTAGTGATGCAATCCAACATCAGGACAGCTGACCATATTGCTCAGCCTTTGAGGATAGAAAGATGTGAAGGAGAATGGAATAAGCACTGTAAAAACACAGGATACCCTCCTGGTGTCTTGCAGTTTTTTAAGGCTACAACTTCTATGAATGCCCATCAGCTTCTGGAAGCTATTTTCACCTGCCGAGTTCTGTAACAGAAGTGTAAAATTTTCTTGACAGACTAGATGGTATGACAGCAGTTCCCTGAATATAGAAAATCTAAAAATCAGTGAAGAACGTGAATACTGGGTTGCTGCAAAGTGTCTGTGAGCCACACACACCTACACATGGTATCACTTTGAGCCACAATTCCAGGAATGCTTCATTGTAAGATGTGAGCAGTATGTACCCCCATTATGTGTTTCATTCAAGAATCACATTCCCTGAAGGCTTCCAGACTTGCAGTTACAGGGTTAGCTGTATCATACTATTCCCACACTTGAAATAATAACACTAAAGTTTTTGGGGGAAATGTAGTGATTAGCTGAACCCTAACACTAAACCTTTGTGTTGTGCCCTCTTTTTCAGGGTGTGGAATCAGAGGGTTTCCCTGTATTGCAGCAGTCCTTAAAGACTGGGCGCTCTGTTGAAGACCAGAGCCACAGTAACTGTCAGTTCTACAAAGGTAAGAAAATCTTTGTAGCATTTGTGCTCCATGACTATTTCAAGGAACAAGAGTGGTTCAGGTATCCTGGTTTGTTTGGTTTTTTTTCATGATGTTCACTATCTAGAAATTATTTGTTATGTGTCATCAAGTCAAACTTATGGTGACTCTATCAAAATGGAATTGTTGGGGGTGACTTATTCAAAGGCGGTTAGCTTTCCCCTTCCTTTAGGGCTACAAGAGTGTGATTTGTCCAAGGCCAACCCAGTAGGTTACTATGCTGATCAGGGATTGTAAGCCTGGTCTCCCAGAGTACTAGGACCTTATCATAGTCTTCTCTGCATCTTCACATTACTGAAATGGAGTTCCACGTGATGCAGGGCAACTTCCAG